TTTTTTTTTTTTTTTTTTTTTTTTTTTTTTTGTCCCTTTTTATTGTGTGTGTCACCGTTTTATGTACATCCCATGAGCATAGACCCCTTCGCACAATGGCAAAAAGTGCTTTGCTTCTTAGTAACATAAACAGTAGTGTGAAAAGTAAGATAGCTTCTGTGCAGATAGAGAAGGTAGATGGGGTGGAAGAAGTCGCTTTCGACGAGAACTCTGCAACCATATTGTTCAATGACAGTATAATTGACGCGAACAGATTAGTAGCAATTATAAACAGCATCAAAGATATGGATGGAGAATTCCAGGAGGAAGACAAAGCAGAAAAGGACAGCTCATTAAAGGAATTGGTTCATCGTGAAAATGTCGAAGATATAAACACGTTTACCTTCTATCAGAAGGGAAAGCACACAAAAAATGACCACCACAATGGATATGGGAAAAATATCGTTTTGGAAAAAAATATGAATAAAGGGGTCAACTCGAGGAAGTTGTCCAATAGGCATGGATATGTGACTTTAGCAAAAGCACACAGTGTTGGTGAGGGCGTTAACGGTGGTGACAATGATGAAAACCGGGGGAATGGAAAAATAAGCCAACAGTTTAGTAGTGGGTATGCGCGGAATTTGTCTGAAGAGGGTTATCAAGATATTTATAGGAAGGGCGTGGATGACGGGGTAGGTGACGGAGTGGGTGGTGATGCGCATGATGTGCAGACCGACGAGTGTTCTGGTAAACGCTGCACTAACGTTAGGGATAACACCTTGAGCGATGTCTTTAACGAAAGAGGAGGCACAAAGGCCGGCGCACAGCAATGCTCAGGCAACAAGGCCCAAGTGAAAGGTGAACATGGAAGTAATGAAGAGCTCGCTCATAGCGAAAACATTGGCGCCCTCCAGTCGGTTTACCAAACAAAAAGCAAGAAACAGCATTGTAAGAAGCAGGTGATGGAGCAGTCGAACCGTCAATGCGCAAGGAAGGACCGATGTAAGAAGGGAGAGACGTGCGAGGACAAGCAGGCACAGTTACGTAAGGGAGATTCATTCCAAAGTGGAAGAAGCCGGGCAGGAAACATCTTCCAAGATTATGAAACCTACAGAGGGAAAAAAGAAAATATATACATTTGCGAATTGAGAATTTATGACATGACCTGTGACAACTGTGGAAATAAAATTATTAATTTTTTAAAAGACAAAAATTTAATCATAGATGGAATAAGTGTTGCAACAGATAGTAAAGTCAAATTAAAATTGAATGTGTCTGAAGTGGATTCCAATCAGCTAAGCAGCGGTTCTAACTACCAAAGTAGCGATAACAATAGTGTAAAAAATTTCGTGAACCAAATAATTAATGAAGTAAAGGAGAGCGGATTTAATAACGACTTGATAGACTTGTACAAGGATGAAGATAACAATAATAAGGGTATCCTGTTTGACATTACTTTGTATGTATTCAGGGACGACGTGATAAAGGCCTATAGCTTGTTGAAGAATATGAAGGGAATTAAAAATGTAGAGTATGATGTAAAGCATGAGTATGTTTACATTTCTTATAACCCAGATGTGGTTGGTATTAGGTTCATTTTGGAATGTTTAAAAAAGAAGAAAAATATCGACGCTTACTATGATGAAGACAAAGAAAAATTTTTTAGAAGCACAAGAAATAACGAAATGAATAATTCTCGTAAATTAATTGAACTTTTGTGTTGCTTTTTTTTGAGCATTGCCATTATAGTCCTTAATAATTACCAAATGAATATGGGTTCAATGAATGGCTTTTATTCCTATGGCAATTACAAGAATTACGTGAATATGTTTAATTTTTTACATTTTAGAAATGAGAAAGGTGATTTTTTTGAGGAACAATTTACACATGTGTCGTCTTCTCAGTCGAATGGGGGGGAGAACAATGTTTTTGCTGCTCCTTCTTTCACCGAAATGTATTTTCCACATGGGGAAGAGGGACAGGGGATGACCACGACGGATGGAACTGCACCTCCATCGGTTTTCACTTCTGATGTGGGCGGCCATTGGACAAAGGGGGAGTTCCAAGAGGTTGCATCAAGTCATGGGAAGAAGATGCACACAGAGAAGAAACGCAGCCCCGATGAAACTGCGTTTGATGAGAAGGAAGGCAATGAGGAAGACTACTCTAGCATTGTGTACGCTGAACCCATTGATGTTAACATGGCTCAAGGTAAGGAAGTCAGTAAGGAGGTAGACCATTTGGATGAAGATACCGCAGAAGCGAAACATGGAGAAGGAGTGCACGCTACAGCTGACAAATCTGAAGAGACAAACACGATGGCGAAACAAACGAAAGAACTCGAGCAGGATAGATTATTCGCGTCTAACAAATTACAATCAGAAATTTATGTGGAACATCCTGTGCATGGTGACCAAGGCGCGGAGGATGCTTTGGGGAAGAAGGCGAACACTTCGAAGAAGATTGTTACGAACTCTAAGTACTATCAGCAGGCTTCTTCAAATGGTAAAGATATTGAAAAGGGAAGTATGACCGAGATTGGCGAGGTGGATTTTTTGTTTGACTTTCGACGGGATGACAAGGAGAAAAAAGAGGTAAAGGCGGGGAAAGGTGCTGGAACGTCTAACGAGGTAGCAGCGTCTTCTGAAGGCACCGTACTCAGGAAGGACCCTCATCTCAGGGGAGACTCCCTGGCACACTTTCAGGCCCGCTTCAACAAAGGCGCAAGTGCGAAGGGGAAAGCCGTAAATGCCGGAAAGGAAGTGAAAATGGGGTCTTCTAAAGAGGAAAACATTGAAGGAAAGGAAGAAGAACAAAGTTATAAAATGGCTAAAGGGAAGAAGCCGAAGGAGGAAACAAAGGGGAATACCAAGGAGGAAGAATTATTGAAAAGGGAGTCCCGTTTTTATGAGAACAATTCACCGAGTCCTGTGGCTAATACAGGGTTAAGGTCGTACCTGGACAATAAAATATTTGGAACCCTTCCGCTGAGGTTATTCTTTATTTTTTTACTAAGTTCCATTGTTTACATTTATTTCGGATTTCATTTTGTTTTAAATGGATACAAGAATTTAAAGAATGGAATAATCAGCATGAACGTTTTAATATCAATCAGTTCCTCGTTTTCCTACATTTACTCTCTGCTCCTTTTGCTCTTCTGCGTATTTTTTTCTATTGACTTGGATGGTATTCCACTCTACTTCGACTCGTCCGCCTTGCTAATATGTATTATGAAATTAGGGTTCGAAATTGAAAACTTTTTAGTAAGTTTTACGAAAAAGAAAATAGAAGATTTATACGAGAAGAACACCAATCATGTGTACATACTGGAGGAGAAGAATGACAAATCGGAAGATACTCAATTAATGAAGCAGCTAAGTAATTGTACTATTACGAGTTCGCAAAATGGGAAAGACAATGGGGCCCCTCATAATCATTGCAACTTGAGTGGCAATCGAAATGTGTCCCCCATTAGTAATGGCGCTATGTCTCTGGTTGGAAGCAGTGCACGGTCTGACCTTTGCAAGAATAGTTCTCAGTGTTCGAGTAGAGAGTTTAAGGTAGAGGAAGGAAGAGGTGGAGATGATTCCCCTTGGAACAGGCACACCCTCCCTGTCCAAGAACGAAAAGGAATAGATATAAATAAATTATTTTGTGAAGACAAAAAGATTAATATAAACGATTTTATGATAAATAGTTACCCAGTCCAATTTATCCAAAAGCATGACATTTTGGTTTTCTACGAAGGGGCCACGTTACTAATTGATGGGATCAAGATAAACGATGATATCTCGTATGTGGACGAAAGTATGATAAGTGGGGAGAAAAAACCCATTACCAAATTTAAAGGAGACAAAATATATGCAGGGTCTAAATGTGTACAGGGGATCATAATTCTTTTTATTGATGACATTTCAAAGGGGAATTATATTGAATATGTTAAGAAAACATTAGACGAAGTGAATTGCAAAAAAACGAATTTACAATTATATGCAGATAAAATAGCCAGTATATTTATTCCATTCATTTTGGGGTTATGCATTGTCGTATTTTTCATTTGGTTTTTCCTAACCTATTTTGATTATGTAAATATAAGGAGGGATAATTATTTTAAGCTAAACAGATTTTTATCGTGTGTATTTTTCTCCATACATTTTTCCTTATCAATTTTATGTGTGGCTTGTCCGTGTGCCGTTGGGTTAGCGAGTCCTCTGTCCATTGCCATCAGCTCTTACATATGTAGCAGCCTTGGAATTATATTAAAAAATATAAACATCTTTGAAATATTCCTCGAATGTAATCATTTCATTTTTGACAAGACGGGTACACTAACAGTTGGGAAGCCAGTGGTCAATAAAGTGTACGTTTCTTCCAATTTAGACCTCTTCATATACCAGTTGTTGAAAAGTGTATCGAAGAACAAGCTTGTTGTAAAATTTGGGCAAGATCATATGGGCAGTGGGTTGGATTACCCCTCTAGCGATGACCGCCATGTTACCAATTTGCATTTGAACGCGAGTGAAGAGAAGAATAGAGAAGCACAGAAAAGTGAAGCCACTGGGGGTGACATCAGTGGAGTGAATGTGTACAGTCGTTTATGTGATAGTTCCGATGGAGGGGAACATGTTGAGAATGTGGACAAGAGGGCAAAAAATAAAGGAGGCTTTTCGCACGACTCCGGTGCCTATGTGGGGGATATCCCGAGTAAGAACAAACAGGGAAACCAAGTGGGTATAAAGGAGGACAGCTGTGCGCCAAACGGAGGCAGTTTCCCTGAAGAGCACAAGAATAACTGGCAAGAAAATGACACAAATTATAGTGCTAATAATAAGACCTTAAATTTTATAGAAAGCATTCACTGCTCAGGGAAAGATGTCACCTTCTATGCCTTCACGACCCAAAAGGACTATTACAAAATTGAAATAAAAAAATCGGTGATGAGGAGAGAGGACAGAAACAGTATGAGGGGTTCCGACGATACGGATATCCCCTGCAGTGGAAAAAAATCCATCTTCAATCGCCTAATGACATTTATAAATGATAAAAGGAAGAAAAATAAATATAACCAGATAGGAGATAATTCCCTGAAGGAGTATTTTATAAACAATCCGGACGTGTCCATGTCTTCACATGACGATTCTTATACGAGTGAAACGAGTAGCGATAATAATGGCACTAGCATTACTGGTACACATCAAGATGGAAAACTGCCATACGGTGTTGAGCTCAAACAAAATGTTGATGACCCATTTGATAGTGAAAACAATTTGAGTCAGAATATTACCAACTGGTTATACCTGTTTTTAAGTTTAAGTGCAAATTTGGAAAAGTATAGTAACCATTTATACGCGACATCAATAAATTCCTTTATAAACTCTAATTTTTGCATTAATGAAACATTTGAAGTGCAAAATTTGAAGAATGAGAAAAGTCAGGGAATTACTGGAGTAGTAAAAGACCTATCGGTTAGCATTGGCACTCTGTACTACTGCTATACAAAGTATAAAAACACACATTGTCGACAGGCAGCAGAGAGTGTTGATGAAAAATTGAATATCAAGAATTTAGAGGCCCATCTGTACTCCTGTGATTGTAAAGTACACAAGACTTATCAGTACCTGTACAATTATTCCAATAGCAAAAAAAACGAAAGTAATAATATTATTTTTATGTGTATAGAAGGAATAATCGTCGGGTTTTTTACCCTCGTTGATGACATAAAACCGGAAGTTTTTGATTTGATTAGATACCTGAAGAGGGAACGCAAAAAAGTGTACGTCTGTACTGGTGATAATTATGTGAACGCTCTTTACATTTCCAAAATTTTGGGAATATCAAAAAAGAATGTATCCTCGAATACGTTGCCTATGGAGAAGGTCCACTTTGTGAAGAAGATACAGGCACTCGATAGTGGTAAGTGTGAAAAAGAGCAGTGTGTGTGGTGGAGGCCTGCACAGAACATATCCCTTTTTGGGATGTCTACACCAGCGATGTTCATTGTGTTCGTTATAACCACCATTTGTTCCCCTCCCTGTGCTCATGGGTACACATTTTACCCCACACCATTCCACTCACCTTTGTAGGAAAAGTTTGCATGATCGGAGACGGAATAAACGACTGCTTTGCTCTGAAGAGCGCGGACCTAGGGCTATCCCTGAGCACGAGATCGAACGTGGTCATGGACAGCGCCGACGCATGCATCGTCGACAACGACATAAGCGTCATAAAGAAGTTGTTTGAAATAAGCAGAAAAACCTTGATAGTGATCAAATTCAACTTTTTGTTTTCCTTCCTCATCAACGTCTTTTTTATTCTCTTGGCAAGTGGGTCGTTCTACGCCCTCAACTACGTCTTTTCGCCTTTTCTGTTTACCTTTTTGATGTTTTGCAGCTCTATCATTGTGATCCTCTCCTCCTTGTCTTTGAAATTGTAGGGCGCATCGGAGGCACGCACGAGGCTGCGCGCAAATGTGTATACGTGTGTGTAAATGCACATGAATAGCATGAACTATATCACATTAACCCGTTCTTTCCCCCTGTTTTTTTTTTTTTTTTGTAGCCTTCTGCGGGACATATGAGCAGATTTCCGGCAACTACGATCTGGCGAACAGTCTAATTAAAATGCGTGGTACCTATAAAACGCGCACCGTCATGCATTGAGCATCCGTGGGTGATGAAGAACCAAACCGATGAGCAAGATGCTCCCTGCGCAAAACCGTGGCAACTTACCGTTTACCTAGTATACATAATTAATTTAAAAAAACAGCTTTGACGTTAGTTACCCTGTCGTTTATACCCACCGCACCTTTTTTTTTTTTTTTTTTTTTTTTTCTTTATTTTATCAATTTATAACTTTAAAAAAAAGTGATTACGGCTTGTACGAGGGACTTACACGAAATACTTCGATGTGAATAAAAAGGCGTAAAAAATAAAAAAAAATTGTACCTTTTTATTTGAAAAGAAGGGGTCATCACTTTGGTATAGCAAAGGAGAAAAGTTTTTTATTTTTTAAAATTCAAATGGGGTAATAATTATAAATACGCATAGGGGGCACACTTAGGAAAGGTGTAAAAGTGGCTATAAAAAAAAGTAGACACGGGTAGTGTTCCTGCATGTGCGGTTGGTAACTAGGGGGGGCGTGGTCGTATATTTTTCTGGCTTGGTGGCTTGCCTGTTCTGGAGCACTGCGGGGCCTACCGCTGTGCACCCCTCAGAAAAGGAACTCCCTCTTGGTGTGCCCTTTTTGTCCCCCCCTACCTGCAATTACATCGCAGCAATCATACTTTTTGCTTCTTCGTATCATGGAAATCGTCATTTAGGGCCCTCTTATTTTTATTAGGCGTATTATCCTTCGAAATGAGTAGCTGAATTTCGTTTAGCAAATAGGAAATATCTGAATGTTTTTGCGGGAAAATTCTCATTGCGGTAAAGTTCACGCGTTCTACGCCGTTGTACATTTTCTGGTTAACCCTAACAACCACTTTGTATTCTTTATATAAGAAATCGTAATTGAAGAGATAATTTAGGTTATCTTCATCTAGGTTTTTTAACTCTTCTGCTTTTTTTCCCAATAAATTATACCCTTCATCGGAGAAAGCCCTTAAGTTTATAGATCCGGAAAAATCCATGAACAGGAAATTAAAGGTGTAGTTATAATAAGGCTTAACATTACTTTCATCACAATTCATACATGAATAGACAATATTTTCTTCATCATTTGGATTTGTTTCATAATCATTATCTGCCGCATTGTCTGGTGTACTTGACAATAATTTTTTTTTACATTTGGCGCAAGCAGGATAGTAAAATCGATGCTCATTTTCTTTACCCTTCCAATATATTCTTTTAATTCTTCCTACCAGTGTGTAAGTACCAGAAATTTTTGCTAAAACATCATTTACATCACTTAAGGCGTAATGCTTTTCAGGAATTTGGCTGACGTCATTGGATAAGATATTCCTCATGTTAGTGAATTGCTCATATTTTCCATTTGTATTATACCATTCTGATATCATTGTACATTTAGCTTTTAAGTCTTCATTTAGGTTTTCTATTTTCTCGATCGAACTGGTCACGCCAAAGGTTCCATTTTTAATGTCATTCCAATTTCGTATACTTATGTTGGTAAAGACATAAATTTCGTTTTCCTTTATTTCATCTCTGATTAAATTTACGTTGCTGTCCCAGAAAGCTATTTCGAAGGAGTGTTTTGTGTCGTCAACGATGATGATATTTTGCTTCATTATTTCATTTCCATGCTTTGTCTTCAAATTGTTTATGGCGCCAATGTGCTTAACTATACCTATCAAATCTGCTGTGAATGGGGTTTCCTTTGTTGCTATTTTTATGTCCCTTAAATTGACTAGCGAAATTTTTTTCTGTATTTTTATTTCTCCATCATCTTTCACTTCATGAATTTCGCTATCCTCGTTAAACGTTAGTTCGTACTTGTGCTTTACCGTGTTGTACTTAGGGTTAGCGATGGAAACCCTACCCTTGGAAAATATGTACACTTTTTTCAGTTCGATGCTGTTGAACCACTTGTCTGCCGCGCTCCCCCAGAATTTGCACGAGATGGAGTCCCCGTGCACATCCGTCACATCTATGCTGAAGAAGTTGATGTTGCTTTTGAAGGTGGACAGCTTCGTCTTGTTCACCACTTTGGCCTTGATTATCCACTTGCTCACGTAGGTCGTTATTTGGCTGATGCGGAAGAGGAGGCTGCAAAAGAGGGTGTTGTGCGGGTGGGTGGATAAGTAACATCATTGTGGAGAAGAACCACTGTACAGGGACACCACTGTGAAGACGTGCGCCTTCTTACGAAGTAACGTCTCTTAAGGTGTTGTTCAAGTAGAGTGGGATGAGAAGCTTCGTACAAGGAACATCCTTTTCCTCACCACCAAACTAATGCCTCAAAAATGCACACACACAAAAAGGGGCCACATGCATGTCAGAAAAGCACAGTGTACATATTTTACCCATTCACACACAAAACTAATGGAGAATACTTTTAAAACGGAAGTGGAGGTGCAACTAACATAGATGAGTGAACAAGGTGTACCCTAACATTTGTGCATTTTTTTCATATGCACATTTTTATGCACTTATGACTCCTTGCTCAGAGACGTAAACTCGTCGCTCTCAGCCATTTGGACGTTTTGGCTTATCATGAAACTTACTCGTTTTCGCTCATTTTGAATGTTACATCAATAAATGTGGTCCGTTTTTTGTTAGCTATTTGAGTGGTTTAAAATAGGAAAAGTGAATTTTTATACATTCGTAATTTTCGTAATATGGCTGATTCAAGCGCGTATGTGTTTATGTATGTGGGGTTCTCTATTCTCTTTTTCTTTTTTTTTGTGTTATTTGTTGATATGTTTTTAGTTTATAATTTGCTGCGAAAGGGCGGAAAATGGGCAGCAACATGGGCGGCAGTGTGCACGGTAATGTATGTCATGAAGAATGCCCCAACAGGGAATGTAATAATACATACCTGTAAGGAAAAATACGGAAGGAGTAAGGTCAAGGTACACGTGTTATTTTAATATATATTCATACGACCGAACTGAAAAAAAAAAAAAAA